TACGGGAGGTGGGATGGGAGGCACCGTTCTTCGGTGGTTCTCTTCCTACCTCTTGGACAGGTCACAGTCGGTGTTCATTGGGGGGCAGAGGTCGACCCCTAGGCCCCTGAAGTACGGGGGTGCTGCAGGGTTCGGTCCTGTCCCCCCTCCTGTTTAACATCTATATGAAGCTGTTGGGTGAGATTATCATGGTATTGCACCTGGGTACTTGAGAGACCGCCTGCTGCCAATTACCTCCCAAAGACCCATTAGATCCCACAGATTAGGCCTCCTCCGTATTCCATCTATTGGCCAATGTCGATTGGCTACCACCCGGAGGCGGCCTTCTCTGTGGCTGCTCCAGCCCTCTGGAACGAACTCCCCACGGAGATTCAGACCCTCACCTCCCTTCAGGCTTTCCGTATAGCCATTAATCCTGGCTGTTCCAGGAGGCCTGGGGTTGACAAGTTCCCTTCCCCGCTCAAATTGCGTGACTGTTGATTGTTTTTTAATTTTTCTTTGTATTTTGTCTGTTTGTGTTACCTTGTGTGTACTACCCCACTCCCCTGGGTTTGTTCGCCGCCCTGAGTCCCTCCGGGGAATAGGGTGGCATATAAATGCAATAAACTTTTAAACCCTTTAAACCTTTTGGGTGACTCAAAATGGAAGTTCTTACATTACCCCAAACATTTGAGAAGGAGCCAAGAAAGAGATCCTCCCACACCACAAAGCAATGTCTTGGTTGGATCCACAGGTCCAGTCCTGCGGAATTGAATGTATATGTGAAACTGCTTCTCTGTAGGGGTGATTGGCAATAAATCTTGCCCTCAAACCCTGGTTTCCCTTCTTTTTGTGGGGTGTGTTTTTGGGTTTATAGATGATGGAAAATTGATAACTGTAAATCCCATTTCCCCTGCCAGCCTGGCTAATTACAGTTAAGAGTCCTTCAATAAATATCCAAGACCAGAGTTTGAATCTTCAGCTTCTGTTCAAGAGATGCCCTCGCATCAAGAGAGACTCGAACCCAGACACCTGGGTGGTTCAATGCTACCGAAGAGAAATTGAGGGCTCCTTAGATGCCCCAAACATTTCAGCCTTTGAGTTGGAACCAAGAAGAGATCGTTTCACATCACAAAAAAGACTCTCGGTTGGATCCATTGTTCCAGTCCTTCAGGGCTCTTTGGATCTCTGCATCTCTAACACTCTGTCAGGATCTGGAGTGGTCCCCACTTTTTCCAAACTAAACCAGCAGCCGAACCTTCTGCAGACTCCCCAAATCCACCCCATGACCTGTATCAACAAGGCCACCCCTGGAGTTTCTACTGCACCACCACATTGCCTGTGTCCTGGTCCAGCTATGGGTCTCCATGGAGCCTCGGAACTAACAGAGCCAATTTTTGCTTCATGTTTCTTTCTCCCTTCAGGAAAATGATCAAAGTCGGAACTGAGAGAGGCAAGTGGGAGAAGCAAACAATTTGCCCCATGGAGGAATTTCTCCTCTGGTCTAGATTCTGGGCAGGAGGACCCTACAGAGGTTGACGTTGTTTTCCTTTCTTCCTCCTTTCAGAAAAATGGGCCAAAGTCAGAGTTGTGAGAGGTGAGGAGGAAAAGTGGACCACTTGAACCAAGGAGACCATGTGGCTCACTTCACTGAGGCCTTTGAGGTGCACCTGTACCCCGGCTAGGAGGCTCTTGTTTCTTCCTATCCCAAAAGAATCAAGAGAGGAAAAGAGGCAAGTGAAAGAAGTAAACAATTTATACCAAAGAGTGTGTGCTTGGTTCACTGGCTTGGTTCACCCTTCCTGCTGACTCTTAATGTTGGGCAGTTTTCCTTTGATGCTGTGAGAACATTGGGGTTGGTAAACGAAACCATGGTTAAAAGAGACATGGTTTAGCAAGCTACCTAACCCCCCTCCCCCATCACTATATTCATTGGGAGGTGCTGCAATTCAAGGCACTGGCTTACTGCGTAGGTGGAGCTCACAACAATTACAGAATCAAGGGGTGAATTTAGCTCGGTGGCCTCATCTAGCTATGAGAAAGGTGTTAAAACATGGAGTTTGCATAAAGAACCAACAGCACTTGATAAAATGTTAATGGGGATGGATGAAAAAATGATAAAAAATACATAATTACTTATTGACTTATAAAGTGGAGAAAGAGCAAGTCAAAGAAATAATGTTTGTATGGGTAAACCTTTTTGGTTATAATATAGAATTAGAGAAATGACAAAAACTCTGGGTCAAGAATGACTATAGACTACACTGACTATGCCTTTTACATGAACGAATATGTTTTCCAGGTGGCATTTACCACTGGCAAGACTGGCAAAAAATGTTTAGCAATCTGTCTGCCAAATGCTGGAAAGACAAGCAGTCCTCAGGTACCTACTATCATATGTGGTGGCCGTGCATTAAAGCAAGAAAATATTGGGAGAAAATACATAGCTGTCTGGAAAAGATTATTAAGCAGAATATCGATCTGAAACCAGAAATGTTTGTTGGGCATAATGCTGGAAGGTTATGATAAAGGGACCACCTATTTAGTTTTAAATATATGTACTAACAGCAGCAAGGATCATATTTGCAAAATACTGGAAAAATGAGANTTCTTTCTTTTGTTCACATATTGTTTGTCTTTGATATTGCACCCCCTTCCCTTTGATTGTAAGCCGCCCTGAGTCCCCTCAGGGAAAGGGCGGCCTATAAATCTTAATAAAATGACTAAAAAAAAAAGATGCTGGGCAGGAGGACATTTAGGACCTATATCTGGCAACAGACGGCATGGACTTCTCCACTCTCACAAGCAGGATCTGTTTGGGGGGACTCAAGGACACCAGAGAAAAATTGGAAGCTCCTTAGATATCCCTAAACATTTGAGAGGGAGCAAGAAGTGGATCTTCCCACATCACAAAACAGCATCACGATTGGATCCACTGGTCCAGTCCTGCAGAATTAAATATATAGCTGAACCTACTTCTCGGTAGGGGAGGATTTGCAATAAATTGTGTTCCCAAACTGTGGTTTCCCATCTTTTTGTGGAGTGTGCTTTTGGGTTTATAGCTGGTTGCGTCCTGAGCTTAGCTTTATGGTGGCTTAGAGATTCATTGGCTTGGTTCACCCATCCTGCTCACACTTAATGTTGGGCAGTTTTCCTTTGGTGCTGGGAGAACATTGGAGTTGGTAAAAGAAGGCATGGTTAAAAAAGAACCAGGTTTAGCAAGCTACCTAACTCCTTTTCACTATATTGATAAGGAGGTGCTGCAATTCAAGGCACTGGCTTATAGTGAGATCTTCTTTCTGGAGCTGACATCCAGCAGATGTTTTACTCATTCCTCATCAGGGAAGATTATTGCAACTACTTATGTTTCCTGTGGTTCATTGACAAACAGCACAACCAACAGATAACAGGATACAGAATGAGCGCACATCTTTGGGAATGGTTCTTCCCCTGCAATCACCATCTATGGCCTGTGTGTGGGTGAAGCCAAACATGGTGCAGATGCCAGATGCTTTATGGAACAGGACGTCTACATTGATGATGGCCTAAAATCTGTTCCCACCGCAGCAGAAGCCATAGACTATTAAAAAGAACATGCCAGATGCTAGCAGTAGCCAACCCCAGGCTGCACAAAATCGCATCCAATAGTGAAGAAGTGCTAGAAGCCTTCAATCCTGAAGATCATGCCAAGGGACTACAGGACCTCAATTTTGACAATGATACCCCTCATATCCAACACAACCTTGGTCTGTGTTGGGACTGCTTCACCTTTAGAACTCCAGCCCAGAAGATAGTCTTACCAAGGGGAGGATTTCTGTCAACAATGAACAGCCTGTTTGACCCTCTAGTGTTTGCTCTACCTGTAATGATCCAAGGGAGGCTTTTTCTGTGCATGCTATCCCAAAGCACCAAAGACTGGGACGTGCCACTTTTGCCACAACAGAAGCAAGACTGGGAGAAGGACGTCCATGGTGGCATCACTGTGAATGACTTTCCTGGGAAATGGAGCTCCATACCTGAAACCCGAAATTTCCTTGATGAGTGCTCATTAAGAGCACGCTTGATCCTGGAGAGATCAGCAGAATCAAGAGGACACACTTAAAATGTGTCATAAATGAGGAGGAACAGGAAAGCAAAGAAGGGCAGATTGTCCCAACAACACGGGCAAAGGGGTGGCAGGAAAATGGGCCAAACTGGGAGTTTCCAGATGCGAGTGGAGAAGTGGATGATTTATACCAAGGAACATGTGGTCCGATGCACCGAGGGCTTGGAGACACAGCTGTACTCCAGATATGAGGCCCACGAGTGCCCAGAACCTTAGTGAGTGCTTGGCATGCCAGACTGGCATCCTAGAGGCTCAAATACATGTAAGAAGGGATGACATGCACTGTGCATCAAACCAATGGAGGCCTGGGGTTATCTCAGGATGAGAACACGAGGAGGGCAGAGACAACCAAGACCAATAACAGGGATGATCTTGTGCTCCATCCTTTTTCAGGTTTAGTTCCAAAACAGGAGATCCACAAGCTGAAAAACAATTTAGCCTCTGGGAAAGGTGCTGGGCAGAATGACATTTGGGACCTATGTCTGGCAACTGACAGAGAGCTAGAAAAACACTTCCAAAAACTTCCTTTAAAATGGCAGAAGAAATAAGTATTCAGGATGTATGGAGAGAGATGAATCCAAAAAGAAATCAATGCTCATTTTATTCAAGTAGACGTACTGTATATGTTGGTCAAGAATAGATATGATATGGATGTCACTGGAGATGAAGTCAAATGTGCAAGAAATAGAAATAGAAGCAAACACTTGGGTAGATCATAAGCCAATGAGAGTTAAATGGAAAGGAAAAAAGAGGAGATGGAGATGGACATTGACTCAATCAATAGTAAAAGATAAGGAATTTATATAAATTATATATTCAAATTGCGATTCATGTTGAGCTCTTGTTTCTTCCTTCCTTTGGGAAAATGGACTAAAGTCAGAGTTAAGAGAGGTGAGGAGGAAAAGTGGACCACTTGAACCAAGGAGAACATGCAGCTCACTTCACTGAGGAATTAGAGGAGCACCTGTACCTAGGCTATGAGACCCACAAGCACTTGGCAGGCCAGGTCAGCACCCCAGAGGCCCAAATACATGTAAGAAGGGATGGCATGTACTGCACATCCCACCAACAGGGGCAACAGGTTATCTGGAAACAAGGCGGCGAGAATTCAGAGACAACCAAGATCAATAACAGGGCTGGTCTTGCTCTCCATCCTTTTTCAGGCCTAGTTCCAAAACAGAAGAGCCACAAGCTGGAAACAATTTAGCCTCTGGGAAAAATGATGGGCAGGAGAGCCCTTGGGACCTATGTCTGGCAATGAACAGTGTGGACCACTCCAATCTCTTCAACAGGACCTGTTTGAGGGGATATAAAGCCAACAGGGAAAAATTGGAAGCTTCTTAAATAGGCCCAAACATTTGAGAGGGTGCTAAGAAGCAGATCTTCCCACATCACAAAACAGCATCTCGGGTGGATCCATTGGTCCAGTCCTGTGGAATTGAATGTGCAGCTGAACCTGCTTCTGGAGTGGATCGGCAATAAATTTTGTTCTCAAACTGTGGTTTCCCATCTTTTTGTGGGGTGTGTTTTTGGGTTTATACCTGGTTGTGTCCTGAGGTTGGCTCTATAGAGATCTAGGGATTCACTGGCTTGCTAGCCCTTAAAGTTGGGCAGTTGGTGCTGTGAGAACATTAGGGTTGGTAAAAGAAACCATGGTTAAAAGAGACATGGTTTAGCAAGCTACCTAACCCTCCAATCACTGTATTGATAAGGATGTGTTGTAATTCATGGCAATGGCCTACAACAGGATCTACTTTCTGGACCAGAGTTTGAATCTTCAGCTTCTGTTCAAGAGATGCCCTCCCATCAAGAGACTGAAACCCAGAGGCCTGGATGGTTCAGTGTTACCAAAGGGAAATTGGGGATTCCTTAGATAGCCCCAAACATTTCAGCCTTTGAGTTGGAGCCAAGAAGAGGATCCTTTCCCATCACAAAACAGCCTCTAGGTTGAATCCATTGTTCCAGTCCTTCACAGCTCTTTGGAGCTCTGGATCTCAGGATCTGGAGTGGTCCCCACTTTTTCCCAACTAACCCAGCATTCCCACCTTCTGCAGACTCCCCAACTCCACCCCATGACCTGTATCAAAAAGGCCACCCCCTTTGTACTGCACCACCACATTGCCTGTGTCCTGGTCCAGTTATAGATCTCCATGGGGCCTCGAACCTAACAGAGCCAATGTTTGCTTTCCTTCTCCCTTCAGGAAAAAGACCAAAGTCGGAACTGAGAGAGACGAGTGGGAGAAGCAAACAATTTACACCATGGAGGATGTGGCCCACTTCATCAAGGCCTTCAATATCGCCTCTGGCCTAGATTCTGGGCAGGAAGACGCTACAGAGGTTGACGTTGGTTTCCTTTCTTCCTCCCTTCAGGAAAATGGACCAAAGTCGGAGAGGGGTATCTGGGGAGAAGAAAGTAGAGAAAACTAAGATGGATAAAATGCCTGGTCAGGCTCTCCAACCTTATTTTTCAGGTCTAGTTCCAGAGTAGGAGATCCACAACCTGGAAACAATTTAGCCTCTGGTCTAGATTCTGGGCAGGAGGACCCTACAGAGGTTGATGTTTTCCTTTCTTCCTCCCTTCAGGAAAGTGGGCCAAAGTCAGAGTTGTGAGAGGCGAGGAGGAAAAGTGGACCACTTGAACCAAGGAGAGCATGTGGCTCACTTCACTGAGGCCTTTGAGGTGCACCTGTACCCCAGCTAGGAGGCTCTTGTTTCTTTCTCCCTTCAGGAGAATGGGCCAAAGTTGGAGCTATGACAGGCGAGCTACATAACCCCCAGCGAGTATATTCAAGGAACCTACTGCAATTCAACACACCGGCTTACCTATTTCCTGGAGGGGATGATAGGAAACTGCTAACTGCAGATCCCATCGTCCCCAGCCACCATGGCCATTACAGTTAAGGAACCTTCAATAAAAG